ATTGTATATCAAATAGAAACTCCAAAAATTCAAACCAAGATTGTGGAAATCTATAAAAAATTTTATATCGCAAACTAGGTTGAGTTTTCCCACCCTCCACTTATAACGGGCACAACTGGCAAGAATGAATGTCCATCAGGCTGGAAATATTTGCCCACTTTAGCGCTGCCCGATGGATCACATAATTTCGCCGATGATACGGTATTTTTTAACTTGCCTAGTCTGACTGAGCCTACGGAGAGCGTATATGGCGTTTCTTGTTACCGGCAAATACCGATTGAGGTAAATATTTGCATCAACATTTTAATACTTATTAGGAAGTTATGAAACTACATACATAAGTATGGACATGTATTTTTACAGAAATTGACTATACGCACCGCTGACATGACACGCAGTACAGTGCAAAAATCGATTGTGATCCTTGCACGGCTGCCCATCTACGGCTATATAGAGGTGAAACTCGCTTTAATCGCTGATGCTTTCTTCGAGAAAGGTGACTTCTCATGCACTGAATTTCTAATAAAGGCATACCAGCAACTTAATGCTTGCCTGTTGGACGATGAAACCCAACGACCTCTACGCAATTTTCATGTAGGATTATCGCTGCGCGAGATCGTCCTGCACTGGCGTCACAAAATGCTCATACTTTTTAAATTGTTTCTCTTGCAAAGACGTGTTGTGTGTTTTGGTTCACCGGTACGAGGTATGTGTGTACTGCTGTTAGGCATTGCTTCTCTTATACCACGTCTGTTGGAAAAAGGCTTCCAAGAAGTAGCATGTGTGCGTACGTCGCGCCCACTATCGCCAATGCCCGACTTTACAGATTCTATACAAAAGGAAGCAGCTGAATTGAAAGAACGTGAGCAACCCATAACGATTTTGGCAAAAAATGTGAAATCAGAGGAAGTAACTTCAAAAATATGCGAAAATGTTTGTGAAGACGGTGATGAAAATGGTATTGGTGTTGCAGTAGAGGATTGTACTTTGGTATCGTCCGCGATGTCGGCAGCGAGCCAAGCGGCTAGTGATGACACATCGACTGCCGCTTCAGCTTCGACCAACACATCGTCGCAGTCAACAAAAGAGTTAAACCGTTTGGACTCATTAGAAGGTGTTGGAGAAGTGGGAAACAAACGTTTTGTGCGCAGTGATTCACTAACTCGCGAAGGGAGTGTAGATACATTGGCATGTAAGTAGCAAATTTTACACAAATTCATATGTGCATGTGTAAACTTGCATATCACACTGCCAAACGTATAATGTAATAAATTGCATTTAAACGCAGTAATTTAGTTGGGTAACATACATACATATTGTATTTTCTTTTGTACATACTTATATTGAGTAAAGATAAGTATGTTAAAACCTATGGTTGGGGTTAACACTAGCCTCGTTAGCTGGTTAAAAAATATTACATATCGACGATGGCTGAGCCAGTTTGAAAACGCCCTATCTCAGAAAAATTTTCAAGAGCTCCCTACTTGAGATTTTGATTGAAAAACGATCTATTTCAGAATTTTATTTACTGAAATCTCAAACGAAAATACATTGAGAATAAGCTGAGGTGGGGCGTTTTTGGATCGGCAGCTGACATAGGCATTCTTCAACCAAATTCTGAGATAGAGCGTTTTTCAATAAAATTCTGAAGTAGGGCGTTCTGGAAAAGTTTTCTGAGATTAGGCGTTGTTGAAATATTTTCTGAGGTAGGGAGTTTTCGAACTGACTGCCGAGATAGGTCGATCCATTCAGCCATGGATATTCTATAGTGTATGTTATTGTAAAATGAATAAAAAAATATAATCATTTAACCAGATAACCAGAGAGGTGTGAACACCCTCATAGTTACAACGAAGCTTGTGGACAAAAACAGATTTTACATTTTCGTTAATCCTCGACGTGCCAAGTTTTTGCTAGAACGAGGCTAAACACAGTCATTCATATGTAATATTAAAAACTATCTAATACTTAAAAAGGAGGAGCTTATTAATTCATCGGAGTATTTTTTTTATGCATGTTACCGGATAACTTGGGCCATGTGAACCCTTTTTATAGGAAAGGTGGTACCTCAAGGGTGGTCCCATACTGTTGTTATTGTTGTAACAACATACATGTTCCCCACAGAATATTTGGGGAGTGTTGCTGGAGTAACAGTCCTTGACCAGATTTATGTAAATGTGGGTCGTTCCCGTTATGTAGACTCGACTGTCGTGGTCCCATACTAATTTGGTTTAGTTCCGGAACATTGGAGCATGAAGAAATTAACGGCACTTCCAAATCTTTATATGAGCATTGCAGGTTGTTGTTGTAGCGGCTTTTATTTTAAGTTAATTATGACAAAGTTTAAGTAAGTTAAAACCTGCTTCTAACTTCTTTATGACTACACACCAACGACTTTAATCTAGCAATAGTCGCAAGCTCTATCTCTTCAAATAGATAGTTGCTTTGATATACCATTAGCATATTGGGAAGTAAAAAATGCTAATTATTTTTAACTAAAACAAATAAAAGTATTTCTTATTTCTTATTTTTCTTTCCTTTTACTTTTCAGACCCACTCTGCACTTTGGCTTCAATAAATCCAGATGAATATCGCGCACCCATTACTATCTTCGCCAGTGGTAACCTCTTTTTGCCATATCTCTCGTTGCCATATATGGATTTACTAAGTGACCCGTCTGTATTAAGCTATGTCATAGGCACTTCGAATGTATTATTCCAACAGAAGCGGCAACTTGCCGACGTTTTGGTGGATGTAGAGAATGCCAATATAGACACAATTGACGCAGATCTACGACGTCAACTGGTGTTGAGTACAGAAGATTTGCGTTTTATGGATTATCTGCTTAAACACGTACAGTCGCCAAAAGAAGATGCTGAGGGCAGCGAGCATTGGATACGCGATCAATTTCAGGGTTATATACTAGCACTACTGCGTACTGCTGTGGCAAATGGTTTGTATGGCTTAAACATAGCGGGGATATTTCCATTCAATAATTTTACATTTCTACACTTTTTAGATGTTATTGCCAAGGACAACGAACACTTCAATGCACAGTTTATGCAGGCATTTAAGCACACCCAATGCTTTCAGGAATGGTATGACGTGCGTCCTGATGCTGAATTTTTCGACGACTTGCCAGCCGGCCATCCCTTTGCTGGCACACTTTCTGTGGCCGATATGAAGCTAAAAATTGCACAGTATGGCACATAGAAAATTTACCTTATTTCTCACATATTATAAATTGTACTGTTTAAATATATGTATTTCTTTTCAAGAACAATGCAAAATAGCGAAAGTGGCCGCAAAATAAATCACGCAGTGAATACTACCAGCCGTGTTGTTGGTGAGTGCTACAAAGCGTGTATAGCCTTAATTGTTAAATATAAATTTATTTATTCGTAGGTGTTGCGCTGTCGCAGGCTAAAGGCACATTCTCAACCTGGTGGTCATCCATCACCACAGCGCCTGCGCAAACAGCCACAGCAACAACAGCCGCTGATGGTGGCGATGGTGATGCAGAAGCAAGCGGCATGACGGCACAGCAACAGGAACAGCAAGAAGTCACCGTGACATTCCAAAAAAATTTTGATGACCCAGAACGTGTAAACATACACATTGAGGGCGAAAAGAAAACCACAGACATTGTGAGTAATACTAGTAGTAGCGGCAGTGAAAAGCCTATTGACAGCGCCGAAGAATTGGATGAAGATGAGGTGGTGAAGTTGACTGAAGAAAATGTTAGTGAGATAGACCAAATGAGCGCACAACAAAGGCAACAAGGTATTGTAGAAATTGGACGCGAAGCTGACGTATTAGATAAACCCAAAGCTGCACCTTTGCCAACACCCACTTGTGGCACAGATATTGCAAATGAGGTACCTCGCGGCAACGGTGACGTGTTTATTGTGTGAATTTGTTAAAAAAAAAAAAAATGGTTCTTTATTTGTTATAGTTTGTGCGCAATATTTTGCTTATTATGCATGAATGAAGTTTATATTTTTTGTAATTCAATGAATTTATGACTGCTAAGGAGAATAATTTTTTATATTACTTTAAAACCCCCAAACTGTTTTTTTCTTTGTTTGCCACCCGTCAAAACTAACCTTAGTTTACGTATAGCTTTTGCATTTTGTTCAGTTGTAACATTACACCTCTGTGTCAAACTCCTTTTTGGGACACATAATTTTGCGAATATTTAATAAAAACTATGATTTAATATTGCGTTAGCGCAAAGGACTACGAATGTATGCGACGATTAAGTAGAAATTATTGTTTGATTTTTTTTTTAGTTTTAAATGAAGACATTAGAGCTAATTTGAAATTTAAAAATTTCGAGTAATATCTTCATAGTACTCTAAATATAAATCGTCCTTTTCTAGTATATTACATACATAAATATATTTAAACAAACGAATTTTTGTAGCTGTTTCAAGTGCAATTTACATTTCATAAACAAATCAACAACCAATGACCTTTCAAAGAGAAGAGAAACTATATGTAGTAGAACATTTGCTCTAAGCTTTGGGCGGCAATAATTGAAACAAAACAAAAATACCGGAAAAGCATAACAGATACATTAAAATGTATTGTATGTACTTGTGGCATACTTATTCAAAATGGATATTAATACAAAAAAAAAATAAAAAAAGGAATGAAATCTTTATTGCTATGGATCAATAACTTCGCTCAAGAAGTCACGGCGGACTATGGATTTGTACATGGTCAATCGTAAGCGGAAAGGATTGCCTGAGTAAGCGAAATCAAAATCTTACAATAGTTACAAAACAAAAAAAAACGTTTGTTAAAATAAAATAAATAAAAATTTAAATGGGCGTATTGCAACAGTGCAGACCACAACTCTGAACCCAAAGAAATATTCACCTAATCGCAGCAACGTAAGAGTCAAGCATTTAGACGCAGCATATTGTATTTGGGCAAGTTATTAAGAATATTTAGATATATCAAGCAATTTATATGATGATTAATGTGTACTTGCATTTGTGTGTTGCAATAAATTATTGCGTATTTAATATTGAGAAAAACAAGAACATTAATAAACTGATTTTTATTTCATTGGTTTATACTTAACTTTTTTCTCCTCTTCCTCTATTTGCTGTAGCTCTAAATCGCGTTGTTCAATCAATTGCTCAAACTCCGATAATATCTGATTCGAACGCTCAAGTGTTTTTTCATAGTCATTGAGGAAGGCTTCACGTTCATCGGCGGCCGCTTTGTACTCACGTTCTGCACGCGTCATAAGTTCCTCATTTTGATTTTCTAACATTGAAATTTCGGTTTGTTTTTCAAGTTTTGTGTCTTGTAGACTTTTGCATTCAGCCTGCATCTCTTGCAGACGTTCTTCTAGCTCTTGCAGTTGCGCATTCATTGCTGCATTTTGTTTTTCTCTTTGTTTTTCAAAATCTCTGCTATTGCGTTCGGCAAGCTTTAGTGCCGTCTCCAGCTCGTCGATTTGAGGATTCAAATTTACCATAATCTCATGGTTTAGTTCATTTTCCTGCTTTTCCAGTTCCTGCTGTTTTTCCACCATTTGCTCTAGTTGTTGCTTCGCATGGTCGCGTGTTTCTTCCAACAATTTTATGCGTTCATTAACATCATCAGGTTCTGGATTTAGTGGCAGTAGAAGCGCGTCCACATTAACTTGCAATTTAGTGCAGCTAACTTCACGTATGCTATCGTTGTATTTAGCAATTAGGTCGGTCAATTGTTTTTTATGACGCGCCAGTAATACTTGTTGATGATGTTGACGATCTTTCAGGTCACATAATGTGCGCTCCATAAGTTTTAGCGTATATTTACCCTGCTCTAGCTCTTGGGCTAACGCCTCTAGCTGGTCTACGCTCATAGTTTGCTTATCAAGTTCATTTTTTATCTGGGTCTTTTCCTCTAATAGTTCCATCAATTCGTCTTTGTATTGTTGCCGTTCTGCCTGCTTTTCGCTTAATTGTTTTGCAATTGCTTCGAGTGTTTCCTGGGCTGTCTTTATTTGGGTGTGAGTCTCTTCATGCTCACTTTTCAACTGGAGGCAATGTTCTTCATCTTCTTTGCGTATATGTGGACGCTTCTTCTGCTCCTCTTTTAATTCTTGTTTCAGTTCATGTATTTGCGCATCCAGCGCTAAGGTACCTTGTAGTCCAGAACGTTTATATATTAGTACGCCACATGTTTGCTGCTGTAAGTTTTGGAGATCGTCATCCTTTTGCTTATCCCAGAGCATGAAACCTTCTTCAGAGTTTTGTAACATCAGTTCTGTAAAGTCAGCATCAGGCGATTCCTGCATCAATGAGCTCTGACCTAGTTTCTCTGGGTCTTCAAGTTCAAATTGCATAGCAGAAGCTTCCTCTTCGTTTTCCGGTGGCACAAAATCCATTAGAAAATCTAATAATTGTATTACATAGCCAAATGAATGCGACGCATTAGGCGTCTTTAGCCATGACTTGTTCACTTGATAGGGATATTTAAGTTTTTGCAGTATATTTATAATATCGTCTACATAATTGCTGCCCACTGTAAATCGTGTACCCCAAATATAGTGTAGAAAATAATTGACAATTCCGATAAACTGTTTTGTGGACATTGTACGCAAGCAACCGCTACGAGCGAAAAAATCGGCTGCCAAACCGTGCACTGCACCAGGTTTGGCGGTTTTCCGCAAGTGCTCCACAATACGCTGTGCCCTCTCTTGCACCCAAATTTTATCATTATGCGCACTGCGTTGCTTTTCTGCATTAAATAATGCACATGATGTTAATTTCCTTACAGAATTGGGTGTTTTTTGTGGTGTAGTACGACTGCCAAGTAGCGTGGAGCCGGGTAAACCGGTTTGGCGTTCCATCGAAGAGGGACGCGTGATGTGACTGGATTTACTGCTCAGTATAAAAACAAGGCTATAAAAGAAGTCCTGGAAATAATATACGGTATTTACCTTGAGTTGTATTTGTGTGCAGTGCCTGGAGCATCCGCATTGGAGACATTTTGCATTTGCTTTTGGGGTGTAATGCGACTGGCACGATGCGTAGAGCTGGGTAGCACCAAAGTTTGACGTTCTATCGAAGGCGGGCGTGCAATGCGACTTTGCCGCTGTTGTGTGCTCCTAAAAGAATCGACAATAAATTTGTAATAAACTGGAAAAGGATTTTGTAACAAACCTAGATGAGCGTTTAGTTGCTGTGCCCGGTTCTTCACAAAACTCCGATGTACGACGAGGGCGCTGCATTCTGACTGTATTGTGTTGAAAGTATTTATCTTGGTTGAATTCAATGGGGTCTTTTTTTTATTACTCTTTACTAAAATGATTAGGCAAAACTGAATCGGACAAACGTTATGATTTTTCGCGCACTTGTTAAATGAAAGTGAACGAGTCTCGAATAAAAAGCAACGCTGCGTATTTTTAAACACAGGGTGAAGTGTATAATTGAAATTTATTTATTTATTTTTTCATACGATTTTCCATTTTCTATAAGTGTACCAAATAAATTAAAAATAATAAAACTTTAAAGGAAATATATAAAAAAAAAAACCTAAATGTTTCATATAGCAACGCTGTTCTAGACGAATACAACGTATTCGACGAGCGGAGACGAATCGTTCGTGTCCTCTATCGTTCCAGATACATGATGAGGCTGTTAATATACATACATATATACTAAATTAGCCGTGCATGTACTCGTCCATGCGCATACATACTTATAAGCAAATTTCAGTAAAAAGTAGAAAAATTGAGCTTACCGCTTTCAAAACATTCCTTGTTTATTAGCAAGAGAAATACTACTAATTTGTTTAAAACGTCTTGCACTTTAATTTATTTCGTAGTTATAATTATTGTTTTTAGTTTTATTTTATACTTACACATTTCCTCTATACATAATTCTTATATAAATGAAAATAATAACTCAATAATACATAATTACATTTCTTAATACATAAAGTACATAAACAATTAATTAATATCGATCACATTTCCTATAAAAAAAACAACGTCTCTCAACTGTTCACACACGTTTCGTTTTTACAATAGTAACTAAGCGATAAAATACTAAAGAAATATTAAGTTAAGATAAAAGGAATTTGAAATAATTTTTTTTTTGTGGATCTATGCAGGTACATACATACATCCTTTTTATTTTGGGAGCACTAAAGGGAATTTAAAATTAACAAATTTCGTAGCATTGGAAAACTCGGCAACGGAATAGCATTTCTCTACAATTGTTTGTTGGTTTATTTATTTACATACATGCTAAATTATTATAACAATTTATTTAAATTTTATAGAATGGCCAAAATAACCTTATAAATTCTTAAATGAGCATTTAAAGTAAGCTGTGTATATAAATAAATTATAAAAAAATAAATCTGCGAGTTTCTAATTACATGAAATTAAGTTAAAATTGCCTGATTACTTTTATTAATTAAAATTTAATTTTTTGTTTTCTTCTAGGAGATAATAATACAGTTTAGAAATTGTTTTAAGCATTAACTTAACATATAACAATGGGAAAGTGAAAGTCTCCCAGCAAGCAATGATTTTAACGGTGGTTTGAGGCAATGTGAATTTTTAAGCGCGGAATAATTGGACTAACCCTAGAAAACACCAAGGCAACGCAAGAATATCCTGCACATTAGACCGTATCACGATGTATGGGCCGAAAAATCGTTCAATTAACTCCAAGCCATTTTAATCATTCACTAGATTGTGTCAGAAAAATTATCCCCATGTCAAAATATATAACCCTTCTGATAATAATAATAAGTAAATATGTAATTAATGGTTTTTTCGTTTTTGCAAAATAAATAAATAACTTTTTTGTATGAAGGATGCAGTTTTGAAAAATCATGTTAAAATATTCACAAAAACGGAACTTAATGCCTCAAAATAATTGAAAAATAATAATTTAAATAATTTTTAAGCAAAACACAAAACTGACTTCGATTCTCATATACAAATTTTAGTGTATCGTTAAACTTTGAAACTTTGCAAAACTTTGGCACATGCTAATGGAGTTCTGCCTGCGCTGCCCATGGTGAAATTATAAACAGCTGAAGTAATAAAACAGCTTTCTCGCTTTATCTTCCTGACATTCGGCTATCTCATTTAAATTTCTAAAGGCAAATTTTCAAATAAGATAATGTCAAATTTTTTTTCTCGCTCTTGTTACTACAACTGGTATAGATTCACCAAGTGCGCTGCCCATGCCTGGCTTTCAGGGTGCCGTTTTCAGAAAAAAAAGTTTGAACTTCTTAGTTTGACTTGAACTTTCATGGGGGAACTATGTAGGCTTTTTTGATACCTTTACAATGGTAGATATATCATTTATTGAAACCGGATTTCAAATAAAAAAGTTATAGAAAAAATTCGATTTAGACGTTTTCACAGGATTTTTACACTACTGAAATACTCTGCATAGTCTCATGGCTCAGAACTTAAAATAAATTGATTTTTTTTTGATGATACGGTCTAATGTACATACATACATACATACATATGTAGTATGTATGTATGTGCAATGTAAATTAAGGCGTTCGTATTATACTGTCGTTTTAAGTCTTACATGTTTTTGTTTATTACTTATGTATGTACATATGTACGTATTTTTATTTACGTTTTGTTTATTAATTGAAGTTATGATTTTGCAATTTTAACAAGGTGTATTAAACCAAGTAGCATATTTTTTAGCTTTTAACCCAAATCAAATCAGAAATAAATGGCTGTACTATTTTACTCGCATGAATTACCTATTTATTTATGTGTTGTTATTGTGTTTTATAAGTATTTATATACTGCTTGATTATATGAATGAAAATTGTTTTTTTTTACCATCTTTAATTTTTTCTTCATAATCATTTATTTTATTGATACATTTATTTTTAACTTTATTATTGTTTTGTATTTTATTGGTATCTTTACGTGGGGAAACAAGTTCCTAATTGCATTATTTTTACATCTTTACATTTTGGTTTAATATTTGTTCGTATCCAATGCGTTCAAGTGTCCCATAAACATTTTGTATCGAATATTTTTTACTAAATACGTTTGAAATTTTTGCGCTTGGAAAACACAAACATTTCAGAAAACTTATGTGTGTAAAATTTTTATAAAACAAATTCCCATACAATTCGTTTCTTATGCTTAATTTGCCTGCCATTTGTGTTGACGCTTTCTTAATAATATGCTAAATTAAAATTATTAAAAAATAACTAGTTAGTCGCACATACAATTCGTTTAATTTTGTACCCCTTTCAATTTCTTTTATTTATATATTTTATATATCTACCCGCAACATTTAGCATTTCGTTTTAAAATAAATATTTTTAAATAACTTTTTACATACATACATATAGTACATAGCATAATCATCGATTTTTAATGATTTTATTTAATTATCTTATTATTGTTTTTATATTTATGGCTTACAAAAATAAATTAGTGCTCTTTAGGTACGTACTGAAGGTTGTTTGGTTGTTTAGTGTATTTTGTTGATGATGGCCCATCGCGCCTTCGCTTTCATAACTCGCTTTTACTTCTTTTAACTTTCATCGCAAATATTTTAAGTCTTTTTTTATGCATATACACATGTACTTCTCATTTAAAGCCTCACACTCATTTATTAGAGTTTATTGTGTTCTTTTTTCCCTTGTTTTTGTTTTTGCAATGTTCAATTCGATGCATTGAGCTGATTCAGATCGGCTCCATATTCTTGATTTATAGAAAGTAAGAAGATAAAGGCCAGTGCCAATAAACTCGAGCCGAGCAGATCGCCCAATGCTGTCAGATACGGAATCGACGAGTTATCGGGATCGATTTTCCATTTCCACATGGCGTGCACAATGACGTGCGCAATATACAAGAGCAACATAACCTAGAAAGAAGAGTAATGGGATAAAGTAAAAGTTAAAGATTATTATGATTCACAATTTGCAAACATTTTGGCTGCCTACAAATTGTAGATAGTACTTAAATATGTACGTATGTATGTATGTACATTAGGGCGGGTAAATTTTTCGGACTTTGTGCGATTTGGCATTTGGCAAATTGATTTTAGGCCCATGGTTTCTTCGGCGAATTCGCTTAAAATTACACGTAGAGTCTTTCTGTGCTATACGCTCATAGTCGAAAAAGTCTCCCATACAAATTATCCCAACCTAATGTACATACATGTCAAGTCCCCAAAACTGCAAAAATCGAGTTATATTCATAACTTTTTTATATACATACATATGTATATCGTCACCTTAATTCACAAAGGCCCTAACCAAAAAATGTTTATTTTACAGAAGCAAAAAACATTATAAATTTGTTTTTATGAGTATGAAATACAGGTGAAATACATAATTTAAACGAATAATCAAACCTTAAAATCCTCTCGAAGTAAGCTTTCATGCTTACACTGAGCAAAAAAACAAGCAACAATTTTTTAATATTATCAAATTCAAACTTGAAAAGGAATCAATGTGATTTTTAGTTAATACCTTGGTTGATGTTTTCAACAATGATTTGGTAATATTAACCACACTTTTGTTTACATTAACCCAACTTTTTGTTGTCGATTTTTTCGTTTGAATACGCTTATGTTCTGCACTTCGCATATGCTTTTTTATAACTCGGAGACAAAAATCAAAAATTTGTATTGTCATTTGAAGAAGTTGCCTCTGACGAGATTTGAAACCGCATCTTCTGAATGTTAGCAAATCACAGCAAGCAACTCTGCACACTCGGCTACAGCCGCTTTATGAATATGCCTTCAAATGTTCAACTTGAATCAATTTTTTCGCCGTTTGATTTGGTTCTGCACTTCATAGAGGCTTTTTCGTAATTAAGAAAAACCAAAAACAGAAAGAATAAAAATAAAAAGTATGTGTCGCGCTGACGGCAATCGTTCTCTCGAACCAGCTGGAAGCCCACAAATAACAGCAATCACCACTGCACGTTCAGTCACTGCCATACATACGAATTTGTTCTCAAATATTCAACTTGAATCACGATTCTTACAATCGGCTTATTAACCATGAAAAATCAAACCATAACTTGGTTGAAAAAATCATTGTGTTTTTAGCTCAGTGTATAGTTCATTTCCACCAAGCCTTGACTCATATTAAGTAGAAGCAAACGAAAGACAAAAAGCAACAATTAAGAAATAAACCTTGCCGATCACCTCTTGGTAAATTATTTTAACTTATCTGCACTCTTAACCGCGGTTAATCGTTTGGTGGAAATGGGCTATTAGGCACCCCTTTTGTTGTACTATAAACTTTTGTATTTCGTATGGGGGACCGATACACAAATGTTAATATTTACATATACTAACCTGTATTAAGCTCGCCAAGAGGAATGCCGCTACGAAAGCAAAGGTAACCGTCGTTGTTGACATGTGTATGTAATCGGCAACAAACACGAACACAACATTACCGGGAATTGACATGCCAAGGAGAATACGCGCCGTTTTAGCATAGGGAACTAAAAGATAATTAGAGAGAGAGAAAACATCTCATTAGATATATTGGTTTCTAAACAAATAAATTAATACATAATTGTAATTATAATCGTTTTATTATAGATAAAAAGAAATTTAAAAGAAAAAAAAAAATGGCCCGTAGTCATAGTCAAAATAAAGTCGACTTTAAACTTAGTTGCAGCTTTTTTGACAGATATCCCATTGAAAATTATGTCAAAAAGCTGCAACTAACTTTAAAGTCGACTTTATTTTGACTATGACTACGGGCCAATATTTTTAAAGCAAACTTTTTGAATATGAACCATATCGGACCATAAATACTGAAGTTTTAAGTCTCTAACACATATGTATAATTACAAATAAAAGCTTTTAATAAAAATAATCATCATCAACATCATAATCAAAGCTGGTTACACTGAGAGAATTGTTCAGGCAAAACACGAAAGAGAAATTGTAAAACAAATATTATTTTTGAAATAATTTTACTGATTTTTCGTCTCTCCTGAACAGTTTAAAAATAGGGACCTGGCAACTTTTAAAACCCCAAAAAAAAAATATTAGCGATATTTCCTTAAATACGTAAAGGCCCCATAAACCTCGCAAGTTTACCAGCCTCGTAAAAGAACTGTTGAAATTTGCATGGAGCTCAGTTTACGCGCACCTCTTAAAATTACGAGGCAAATTTGATACGTAAAAGACCTCGTAAACTTCAGTGTTGCCGAAGGGCCGAAAATTTTATAATAAAATATATGATCGAATAATAAAATGAATGAATTTCATCCACTTACTGTATAACGTTGGGGTTTCTGCTAATTTTAGGCATTTTTAATTATATTTTAAATTTCATTCGAGCTGAGGGAATACCCTTGTTGTTGGTGCACTGCCCGGCTTTGCCCAAGCAAAGCTTAATCCATTTTGAAGCTCCAATGGTCAAACCCTTTATTATAAATAGTTCGCCTACCAAGGCAGCGCTGGAATTAATAAGGGAAGCCGAAGGTATCTCGGGCACAGTGAGTTAAGCTGCCTTTGCATGAGGCGATTTTTCGATAATCGCAAAAGTTGACATGCTGTCTACTTTGACGCAAGTGATTTTTGAATGTTGAAAAATTACACAGAATTTTCTGTAGTCAAGTTTAACCATGATTTAACCACACTTTAAAATAGTTAAGTTAATGGCGTCTGTTGCTATGTATAATAATTTTAATTATAATCCTAAATTCAAAATTATAACCTTATAATCATAATCAAAGGCTTACATAAAGATTATTAAAAAGCATCTTTTTCATTATTTGAAACTTAAACACAAACTCCAAAGTTTTTTTTTTTAATCGTTCGATGCTCTTGAGGCTTTTGAAACTTTTCCCAGTTCCTTTATATATACTTTACTTTCTCATTATTTTATTTTCCATTTACAAAACTCACCTCCTTTGAAAAGCGCCTTCCATGGCCATTCGAAGATTTTCGTATGCGGCGGAATGATGCCAATAATGGAACTCTGATGCAGCATGGTTGAGATTTTACTCGCTTGCACCGATACCAAATTACCACCAATACCATTGATAATCGGTTGAAAGACAACAAAGCCATCGAATATTTCCACAGCAGCATCAAGCACGAGACCGCCGAGGCTAAAAATATAACAAAATGTGAAATTATTAAAATAAAAAGAGTGTCATAATGATTGGCAGATGTTGCGTATACGTCACGTTGGTGTAGCAATTAGTTACAAATTCACGCGCTCAAGTGTTTCATTTGCATAATATTGTTAAAAAAATCTGTTTTGTGAATCTGCATTTTTTCACTCCAAATAAGTATGAAGCTGGACATCTGCGCAATTGCTTTTAAGTACGCTTATAAATACTCGCAGATGAGTATGGCTGTATGACGTCAATTTAATCAAATAAAACACCTGTTTGAGGTAAATATTTCGAGTGACGAAAGCTGAACTAGAAACACAAAATTTATGATATCAATTTCGTGACGAAAATTATACGCATTTTTTTTAACTGCCCTGGAAACTGACGCAAAATAGTTTTATTTATTCGGAGCGACTTTTTTTTTTTTATTTGTATCGAAATATCTCCACAATAAAAGTTTTCCCAGGTATAAGCTATATACAAAATTAAAGCTAGGGTTTTGGGCAAGACTTGAGGATACCTAGATTTAAATCGACTAATCAGTTTTGGAGAAAATGCTCGAAATCTATATTTTCAGCAGCCTCATTTTTAGTTTTCAGGCGATAACATTTTCTGGACACACTCTGAAAGACGTTTCCAACGATATCCCAAACATGTCGATTGGACGTCTGGGTAAAAACTTCCAAATGTCGTGTATATGTAGTTATAAGCGAGTGGCTGCTTTCGTGACTCGCGCGCACTGCTGCCGTGCGCTGTGATTTAACAAAGCTCGTAAGTTTTGTTAACTTATTTCTTTTTTGCTTTGTTTTTTTTTTTTCGTCAACACAAACTTTTTCGTGCTGCGAAATGATTTTAAGTGGTTTCGAGCAAAGTTCTATTTTAAATTTATGGCTACATTAATGACATAGCAGCTTAGTTTGAAAAAAACTCGAGTCATGTTTATATTTTTATATTCGCTTGCGCTTTTTATACCCCAGCGCACTTGTGCACAAGGGTATTATAGCTTTGTTCACATAACGGTTGTTTGTAACAGGCAAAACGAACCGAGATAGATATAGACAAATGTATACATACATAAATGATCAGAATGAAAAGAGGAATCGATTAAGCTGTGACTGTCTGTCCGTCCGTCTGTGCATACGATAACTTGAGTAAAAATTGAGATATCTTAACGAAATTTGGTACGTATACTTCTTTCGGGCGTAGGACGGACGATATTGAAAATGGGCAAAATCGGACAATAACCACGCCTACCTCCCATATAACGGTAGTTTTCAGAAATACGAAAACTGCGATATTTTAGTACCTACTTAAGCTCGGTAACCGTTCTACCAATTTGTACCAAACTCGGTATGATTATTGTGCATGCCACGCTGATAATTATTGAAATCGGCCAAAAATTACGGCCACTTTTCATATAACGGTAAATTTCAGAAATGCTTGAAACTTCTATAATTCAAAATTTAAGGACGGTAATTTACTCAAAATTGATACCAACAACAATCCCTTGAAAAGAAGTAACATTATTTGGAATTTGGGAAAATGGGCATGATACCGCCCACATATTACTATTATAGGTCTATCTCATTATATCTAACTGAACATTCTAACGTAGATGTACCATGTAGCGGGAGTTTTCGAAAAGGTGAAAAACATATACCTAATAATTGCGCCAGGTATTTAATGTTCGGCTCCGCCCGAACTTAGACTTTCTTACTTATTTAATTTAAGAATGAAAGTCATTATGTTGACTGCACACGAGGCAACCATTGAGACAAGCAGAGCATATTGCTTTGACCGTTGCCTCGTGTGAATCATTATTGCTCATTGAAATTCGTATTGCCGCAACCGTCTCCTGAAAATCAAAATTTTTTGATGCGAGTATTGCTTTTATTAACATAAGGCGTTATACATGAAAAACAAAATAGATTTCAAGAGCTTTATAAAGAGACTTTTTCATAGAAATTTTCGATTTATGAAGCAGTTAAAGCCTTCTTTATTTTCTGTGAATTTGGCTGTTGGTTAATTCAAAATAAAGGAGCTTAAAGGGTGTTTTGCCGCAATAGTTACCTCTAAATTGAACAGGAGAGAAAAGTTGGTGCAACATGTTGCTTCAACTGTGGCCCCGTTTGTAGTCAACATTAAAAAATTTGGACGCAAGTACAAAAAAAAATAATGCCAAAAATAATAATGTATGACCACATACTTATACCTACATATAAGTTTTGGATAATTCACCTCAAATTTACGACACGTTTTGTTAACTAAAAAATACTAGAATAGATAACTAAATTGTGCTTTTTGGTTAAACATTCTTGGTAAAAGTGTCTAAATACTTGTATATCCAGCTGGAATTGTAAATCATGGCTGGTATTTTCTAGAGCAACTAACCGCGATACGACAGAGATGCCAATTTACTTTTCTCATTTTTTAAACGTTGCTTCGCTGATTTGGATCAATTACTGGTTTTTATTCTTTGCACTTTTTGTCATAGAGTTGCTCGGAACTCTTCCCTTATATTTTTCGTACAACTTTAGCTAAAATTTTGAGTTAAGGATATGGGTGAAAGCTTTGGAGCTTTTAAATGCTTTACCAGGGGCTGGATTCTGTAACTGTGAGAAAATGTAGTGTACACCGAGTGCAAAAGTCACAACCAAAAACTCACCGAATAAAATTCAGTGAGTTTTCCGCAAGAGAAGTGTACACAATTTAGACAGCTAAAACTCATTCTCACGCTTCCTGAATCTTAAAATGAAGAGTGTAAACAATTTTCAGTGTACACGTGAAAACTCACAGTTAGAGAAATCCAGCCCCAGCAGTGGCATTCTGAAAATTGCTATCGATAATTTTGATCGCAAAAAATCTCTAAAAGAATAAGGGTTTCGAGATAACCTGCATGGACATAACTTTTACGTGAAATAAGTATTGTTATCGATCGATTTTTGGTCCATGGAAATAAATTCAGACGACGTTACTTGCAAAATATGCGGGATATAAGTTGCATGATAATTTTGCACTGCACAAATTGATTAACTCCACTTTTTAAAAATCTTAAATTTAAGTGTGTTTTCTTTTTAGAAAATGTTGAATGAACTGTCGGTTTTAAGTTTAAAAATGCGCACCCTTCGTCTTTATTATTATAAATGATGGTTATCAGCCGCGGGTCAAGAAAAGATAACAGACTATTCAACGGTAATCTGAAATCGATAAGGCCTTTAAGTTTTTATTAGAGGAACAAATAAGTATCGGAAATTTGTATTGATATCGCCCTCTATGGCTGTACAATTTTTGTGGAAGTTAGTTAGTTTCCTGGACATAACTTCCATGAGATTTTCTTGCAAATTCCATGCAACATCTAGTCAGATGTAACTCATACTTGCAGATTTCGCTGCATAGGCAAAATTCAGTTGTGTTTAAATTTAGAGGGACCCTTCCTCGCCGTTTGCGGCCAAACGAGGTTTTAGACAAGGCGATTCACTCTCGTGGGACTTTTCAGTAAAAGCATGGTGCTGCTGGCGTATGCCGATCATATTAACATCGCCGGCCCGACGACCCACGGACGTCAGCGCAGCATTTTCTAGCTACGGAAAAGAAGCGAAAGGTGTTGGTCTAGCGGTTAACGAGGACAAGGAAAAGTAGATCCTGAAGCAGTGTAAGACTTTGTCTAAATAGAATCCAGCATAAATACCACTCACAATGTCAGCCTGGATATCAAGTCGGAGGCAACTGAAAAGCAGGGCTATTTTGCGAGGAACAAAAATTACGCTCTACAAATCTCTTATCATGCTCATCTTTTCATATGGCGTAGAAACATGAACGATGTCGAAAAATTACAGAGAAAACAATTCAACGCCAGGTCTATGGCCCTGTTCGCGTGAGCGAAGGAGAAGGATTTTATGACAATGGCAAATATTCCCAATCAAAAGGAAAATTGTGCGCCAAAACTTAACTGTCAGAAAGTGTTAAAATGGCAAGTTTTTACTAGTTTTGTGTTCAATAACTTTTTATGATAATTTTCTCTTCCTCTCTATTTTTCTAAAGTTATTGAATGGACCTATAATCTGGAAAGTGGCTTTTAGAAAGGTCCCATGTTTTTACTAGTCTTTATTAGTATTTAGAGTTAATTTAAATTTTTATCTTAAAAATTTTGTCTTATCTTATGCGCAAAATTAGTGCATACATGTGACTTCATATTGACATTAATAATTGTAGCTTGTCAATTACAAACAAATTTCAGACAACCGTTCATAAACAAAAGCTATTGACTATTCCTCTTTTTACTTATGTACATACATACATATGTATATATGTATGTACCTCTTTTCAAGAAGGCGATGTACCGACTCGCATAGAACTTCCGAAATCTGGTAAAAAATTGCGATCAAAATTATAGCTGGGAGCAAAAGCTAACTTTAATTTTCTAAGATCTCGTAGCTTGTGTAAATTTTAATATTTGGTATACAAATTAGGGAAATATCTACGTATACTATTTTAACTTACCCACTAATACATAGCGCCGAGAGTACCGGCACCCAGCCACTCTTCAGTACCGACCGAGTATATTTATTTTTGAGCACAATAGCTACCCACATAGGTAAAAGCACTAAATAACAAGCGACTATAACAAATGTGATCCATAAGTGAGTTTCTGTAAGAGAAAAAAATAAAACATATTAGTGGTAAATAAAACAAATATTAACTATTTTGTGTGGGTCCCCAAAAACCCCCCAAAAAAAAAAAACTGAAATGGGGGACCCATAAAATAGTTAAGGATAAAAAAAAGTGGTAAAATCAACAACTGGGTATTATCCTTCTGAAGAGACGTAGAGTTTTCCGATCGGAGCATATTGATATTTAAGAATTCCACGAAAGTTGCATTTTCCCATATAAAACTTTATGCGCTCTGAGCGACCTTGTAAATATATTTTGATTTCGGAATAAAAAAACAGGGGTAAATTTTTTCGATATAGAAACAATCCTTTCCAATTTTTCTTGAATTTTTGCAGAGCTCATCCTATTTATCCTACCCAACGTTTGGCGTTAGTTGTTTTGTAAAATTAAAGAGGCAAATTATAACACCGTGCGACGAAAACAAAAAATTTCGAAACACACTTAGCAATCTATATACTCACGAAACTGTGCACCAAATACAAATAGTAACACTGCGTTCTTAGTTTTTCTCTCTGACGATTTTTTTAAAGAACATTGCATATTAAAAATATGGGTTGCAAACGATTCGAGAAAATTCTGTAGAATTTAAAAGTATTAAAATTTTAAGGTTCACAAGGACCAATATGTATTGAAATTAATTAAATCAGTTTTATTTTTAACCTTGAAAAGTTGGAAGGACGCAATTCAAGGATGTGGTCGAGTGTATATTAGGATAAAAGTTTAAAAGGACATTTTCAATACTTACTCGTCCTTATACATCGAAAAAATTAATCTGCTCTAGTTCTACAGTATTTTCTCTTTAATTTGATACCAATACGGTTTTCCTACATTGCACTGAATTTTTTAAATAATTTTTTGAAGATATCATATTTTTCAAATTTCAATTATGTCAAAGAGAAAACTAAAAACTCAGTTTTACGATATTTGGCACACTGTTTCGCGAATATATTGATTTCTTGACTGTCGCCCGTTGTAATCGGCAATCTCTTGTAACAATAAAATGGCTAATATGACAGTTTTCCGAAAGTTTCTTTTATATTTTTGAATTAAGGAGATAGTACCCAATACTAATACATAGTCATACATACAAAAAAAAATAAATAAAATAAAAATATTCCGACGAATTGATAACCTCCCCCTTTTTTGAAGTCGGTAAAAAATATGCCGACTCAAACGGAAAATGCTGTAAATGTATGTGTGTTTTAAAGTGAACAAAGTTATACTCACTTATATGATCGAATAGCAGGGAAGCAATGAAGGAAAAACAACTTATGGAGACGACATCACCGATAGATGCCGCTAACGGTGTTGCCAAGTTATCGGGATTCAAATTAAATCTCTCAGATAATAATATCACAGCCACTAATACAAAATCTGTAATGAATAAGAAAATAAATGAAGGTGGATTAATGTGAAACAAGAAATTTAATAACGTTTTTATTTTGATATTTTAAATAAACATTTTAGTAGTTTTCCAACAAACTTATGTACCTAAAACAAAGCACGATGAGGTCGCCGTAAACATGGCGGATGCCGTCAGCAGCATAACATGTTCGAAATAGAAATTGCCATCCATCGCCGCACCCACACCAGTAGCAAACATAGCGACCAAAAATGAGGCGACCGTCGCTTGTACTTGCACCAATGCAATATTGCCTACAATCATTTTGATGACTTCCTTACGCGTGGTCATATTGCCCAAATTGACCTGTGTCGATAGACGTGATGCGAGGCACATATCGAGATTGCCCTTGAGGCCAAGCAATGCCGGCACGAGAATGAATAGTTCGGTGATCTCTTTGAAGACACGCCATTTCTATGCAAAGAATGTGAGTGGAATAACGAATTAAAATTATATGTATATACATATGTAGGAGATGCATATGAAATACAAAATTGTACTATAAAATCAAACAACTTATGTATGTATGTATATGTTGTAAGCAAATTAATCAAAATGTAAAACACGTAATTGTCAAATTTAAACGCCACTTTAGTTGCATATCATTAGCCAATAAATATGTATGGTGTGAACAATCATTATAATTGAAGTATATATACTATATTCTATTTTGACATGTGTAATTGAATTATTTATTAACATAGCAATTTCATTAGTTACTTAAAAAACAAGTAAATAAAAATAAATCTGTGAATAAGTAATTCTTTAAGAATAACCTTGTTTGTCATGTTAATAGCAGTAATTTTATCTAATCATTGCAGATACTACAAAGTACTTTTGTTTATTTATAATTTTTTAATCTTGAAAATTGAAAACACACTCAATTTCTTGTGATCAGTTGTTTTTTTTTAGCCACTTCAGTTAAAGACGCCATTTGGTATCATGACATCAGGCTGACAAGTGCTTTTTGACATTGCCTAGCACTACTTAAAATGGCAGACCATAAGAAACACTCACGTGGGCTCATGAGCTTATCGATGATCTAAGTCGAAAACATTTCTCTAGTGACAACTAGTTTTTGTTTAAGTATCGATTATGCGCATACACAAAAACATATGTACATATGGGTATATCCTAGGTAACGGACGTGACATTCGCACGTGTTTAACCAAGCTTAAAATAGGAAAGAAACGGAAAGATCGTATGGGTATTACAAATATTGCAAAGCATTATAAATTATAAGACTAGGGTGTTCGATTATTCGACTTTTCCCAAAACGTGGTTTCGAATTGTTGGAAAAGGCAATTTGAAAGAAACCGGTTCAACATTTTTAATTACAAAAAAACAAACACTGGTTAGACCGGTAATTTGTTTTTAATTTTTCGTGCTTTGATAGTACTTACAGTTGGTTAGAAATGAACACCAAAAATTAAATAAAGCTAAGTCAGAAGTCATGATAATGATCTTTAAATTTGTTTTTCAGTTTAAATATGATTGACATATATTTTTTTTTATGACAAGCTTTTACTTGTAGTGATAATGATCTTAAAATTTGTTTTTCAATTTAAATATGATTGACATATATTTTTTTTTTGACAAGCTTTTACTTGAAGTGGTTAATAAAAAGAAAAATCGACCACGCACCTCGATGGCTAAACTGTTTTTAGTTATTTCTTTCTATTTAAGCTTTATAGGTTCTAAATATGAAACAAATGGGACCATAAGTACATGTTTTCCAAACATCTCAACTCCTGCGCCACCTATCACCCACATTTTTTATGAAGTTATTCCTTTTCATGTACATAGGTAATAAATAATGAACCATATTGGACCATAAAATTGGGGTTTTTTTCAAATATCTCGGGTATAATTCATCTTTCATATTGCATTGTCATCGGGCTGTGAGCCATGTTGGAAGTTTCAAGTCTCTAGCTCATCGGGAAGTTGGTTAAAAATTGATTGCAAGATTTGATTACACACAAGTCAAACTAAATAAAAACTTTTAAAATATATTAGCCCGTAGTTATAGTCAAAATAAAGTCCGACCCTAAAAATAAAATCATCTTTTTGACATAACTTTCAATGGGATATTTGTCAATAAAGCCGTTTTATTCGACTCCGATTATTCGATAAAAAAATTCTGATTTACTCGATATTCGAAAAATTACGATTTCGAAAAATCGCCCGAAAACTTTGGAAAAAAACGGTGAAAATATAATTTTAACATTAAGAAACATAGGATATACTTACATATCTATCAGACATGTCTATATTCACTACAAAAAATTTAATATTTTTTAAGGAAAATAGTTGAGACATCGTTAATATTCTGCTATGTAATCGACCTATCGATTGGGAGATATTTATTTCTTGCTTCCATTTGTCTTTATCTGTATATATTCATATGGACTTACATATATGTCTCTATATAGCGGAATCCGCTTGATCAAATATCTCGCAGTATGAAAAATATGATTGAAGAAGTGAAGAGATATCGCAAAGAACGCTATGTATTAGCAATTGTTTTTGCCATTGTTGTCAAGCAAAAAGTGCTAGCCATAAAAAATCTGATAGCATGGGCCTTTTGTACGTCAATTAAAAACTTGATTAATTTACTGGTTCAAGGTAACATCAAACAGGGCTATTGACACATAAAGTTCTTCACCAGTTCACCAGAGAAAAGGAATCAGAGCGCTTCGTAATTTTATGTTGTACCGGGCGTATGAGTAACATTTTATTGGCAAATATGTTGAACCCTCGACGGTAATCAGAGGATGCTTGATCAATGGCAGACCGTTATACAATTAAATATATGTACATACATGTATGCATACACATGTAAATGTAATATATATTTTTAGTATCTCAATAAAGGGTATGCAATACTAAACAATCAGATTGTGGTGTTACGAGCATTAAAACGGGGCGGTAGAAGTGGTGTACCTCAAAATAGACGCCTGACTCTGTACATATATGTATATGTATATGTTATTTACTATAATTAAATTTTTAACATTGAAACTGCGCTTAGAATTTATTAAAGGCAAAATATAAAAGAACAGTATCTAAAATAATTTAAGCAGACAGGTTATTGTGAAAAACTCAGAAAAAAAATTTTTTTGAAATTTGGCAGCTAATGCATGTGAAGAGATGTGCGACAATAGATATAAATGAAATATCGCTAGCTTAGATAGAAAAGTTGCTAAGCCCCATTTTAAAAATTTTACAGGAGAGGAAAAAATCTTCCTATAGCCATTTTCTTTAACTATTTCGCAAGACTTTGAATCAAACATTTTGGGCGTTTAAAGCAAAGCAAAACTCCATAAAAATCAGAAGGATTCGATATTTATTAAAAGATTTCGTATTATTTTGGCCTTATCGGATTTGTGGTGCTTCTTTTGGACTTAGCAAATTTTCCTTTTATTGCTTATGAAGAGGAAAAAATAAAGCAAGTACACTTATAATCTTCGAAACGATGCGTATTCAATTTTTTTAGCCTTCTATATCAAAATATGAGTTTTCATAAAAAGTGGACTTAGCAACTTTTCACTCTAAGCTATCGATATGTATGTGATACAAAGCGGACTTCTTTGAATTGTTTACTAATACAAGTGACAATTTAAATGTTTGCTCAAAATTAATAAAAAAACAAGTATTGTTAAGTAAAATTCGTGGGAATTCGGTAAATCATTTAAGTAATATACACTTGTATACTTAATTAATTTTCTCCACTTTATCATCAAATGCGACAAATTTTCGTGGAACTTTCCGCTAAAATGCTAACTTTCGTACAAGCGTATATGTAGTATTTATATAGCTTATTTAACACGCTGCTATGAAAATGTCAATAAGCGAATTTATATTAACATACGTACATGTGTACGTTTAATATGATGTGTTGTCGCAATCTCAGACAATAGCGCAATCTGTTATGCCATTAAAGTAGGAGAAAATAAAATTGAAATACATACATAACAAATCAGTGTGTCGAGAGTTTGTTTTATTGTATTTTTTTTTTGTTTTTTTTTTTTTTGTTGACTTAGGATAAGTATGAATTTTATACGCTTATGGCTAGTCATTAAATGAAGCTCCAACACGACAAGAGATAACATGCCGACTAACTGTGTTTGCATTATGTATGCACGAATATGTGTAAGAACACAAGTTATTACATACACACATACATACATACATAATATTTACATACATATGTATGTATGTGTAATAATGCATCTGTTTTTAGCTTAAACTTCACTCACAGCTGTTTGAAAATGTGCACTTTGATTCTGTTGCTGGACTTTTTATTTTCATTTTAATTACCGCGATTGCACTTAATTTATAATAATTTCGTTAGTTATAGATATTTCACCGTTAATTATCAATAACAAGTGGTATTTATGTATGTCTTTCTCAGCTAATAGGGGAATAACTTGTGGAACAAGCCGGAATAGCCTGCGCTTAAACACCGAAAATCTGATGAGCTTACTGAGGAAGGATACAAGGCCTAAAAACTCTAAAAGGATGCGGTAAATAAAACCAGAAGAAGAATACGCTGAAGTGCATCTGAAAGTGGTTAAACCTCAAGGTATGTATGCCATACAGGTCACATTTTGCAGAATTGAAGAGTGGCCAATACGAATGGAGCGACAAAAACAAGTTTGCAGTTCACACGCGGTACAAGTGAAACCTAAGTGTAAGGAGTGCTGTAATTAATTTTATTTATTTTAAAGCAGACAACCTCGTGATTTTTTTTTTATAAAGTGAATTTCGTGTGCTGATTTAGCATAATTTTTTACGTTAAAAAACCATTACCGAAACCAAGGAAAGGCGTGATAAATACTATGGAGATTCTGCCTCAACAATTTCAATGGTTAAACAGTGGTTTACTGAGTTCTGTTGTGGTCGTACCAGAAAGCGTCCATAAAATTCATTGAGTGATATTGGACGATCGGACGAGGAAAGTGTGTAAGGTGGCTGAGTGAGTGGGTACATGACATTTTACATGCATTTTTTGTTTAAGAAATATCTATCCGCGTGATGTGACCATTTAAAAGGTGTGTTTTGCGATTTTCAGCCATAATCCGTATGGCGAAGCATGGATCCTTGCAGCATAGATAACTTGCATGAATAAAGTTGTATTTTTACCTTCTGACGAAGAATTCTTTACCCAAAATATTCCCAAGTAAAAACGTATGCATGTATAAAACCTAATGTAAATGAATCTTCCAGATTAAAGTCATCGAATTAATTTGGTAAACAAAAGATATTGTACGTGCGGGAAAAAAAATCAGATCTCCAACCGAACTTAGACTTTTGGTTTCTTTCAAAAGTGTTTTTTTTTTTGTATCCAAAATTGCATGCTCATTCATCTATTACTTAATTGTGTATTAAGGAATCTAGTGATTATAATATTCTTATCGTATTTTTAATTGCATTCTCTTCAAACTCTAAGTTGTATGTAGTATGTTATTATACCAAATAAGTGCGCAATTAATTTGAAAATTTTAACATACCCGAACGTACGTACTATGTATGGAGTACTCGTACATACATACATACATATGTGAACAAGTAAAAATAATAAAAAGTGATAAGTTATAGTCAGCTACATAACTTAAAACAAAAAGTACAATTAACTCATTTCGCCACATATCGCGTGACAAATTCATTTTCCCACATGGCACACGCAATTAAAGTGGCATTTAACCATTTCACATGCAACGTATGAAAATTTTAGTTTTTATTTTTGACTTTCTAATAATAACGAAACGCCTACATTTCATTTTGTAAAATGCAACTCACCTCTACACGCCCGAGTATAATGCCCGCACCGATTGTACCAACGCCAGCCAAAAAGAACGGTATCGACACCTGCAACAATATTGAGGACCATTTCTCCTGTTTAATGCCCGGTCGATTTAGCGCCAATTTCTCATCACTGCTACCAGGCACACCGGCGATACTGCTTGCATCTAATGCACCGATGCTGCTGCCACCACCGCCTGCACCACCGCCACCACCGCCACCGCCGCCACCGCCACCACTACTTCCACGACCACCACCCGTGCCAGGATCTGGTTCTGAGGATGCTATGGACGTCGTGATGATTGAGCTTAGTGAACCAGTCGTCGATTGTGGTAGACCGGACAATTTGTCATTGTCGGTGTCTGGAAAAGAGAGTATGGGAAAAAAATATCGACAAAAAGAAAGAGAAAGGGAAGAGAGATGAGAATTAAACATTAAATTAACTAAAAATTAGGTGGGCAAAAAATTAAGTAGGTAAAAAAAAATAAATTTATATATAAATATCATAAATGTTTTGTTTATATTTATTTATAGTCTTATATCTAAATTAAACCGCATACACGCAAATGCTTAGACAAACGAAGCGAAAAAAAACTAAGAAATCGTGCAGCAACAAAAAGGGGTTGTATGAGCAGCAGCTCAATTAAATTGGCTTGACTTATTGATGGCTCAATTAAAACTAACTCAGCAGTGGATTCATCAAACATACTTACAAGCATTTACGTTGTGTAGGTAATTGTGCACTGAAAAAGTTTATATGTTTGTATAAGTATACATATGTATGTGTGTGTATAAAAATATTTAAATATACCCACCAGACAATTTTTGTTGCCGGAAATAAGAAAACTTGTCGCCCACAGCAACAAATTTATTGCCGGCAATATCGCCCTAAAACGTCCGCCGCAGGCAACTCGCCTGGGCGAGTCGTTTTCTTATTACCTGAATGTGTCGTTTTATTATTGCTACAGGCGATATTTGAATACTAATTTCTTGCAAAAATTTTTGAATACAAACTTATAAATTGGTAAACGAAATTAACTATTTTCGTCGCTATGGAGCTTCCTATTTTTTCAACCCTGTCTTGGGCATAAATTAGATGTTTTTGAAGAATCCTGTTGACGCGAAGTTCATCAGTTTGGGATTTCTCACTACGGCTATAAATCGGCGAGTCACCAATTTGTTGCCATTGACGATTGTTGCCTATTTCTCATGTTTTACATGGTGGGTATTTTCGTAGGAATTCAAGTTGCAGTAAAGTTCAAATTATTGGTTCTTCACTTTTATCGATAAAATAAATGAAAAACTTTGCTACAAGTATAACTCTGAGTCACGCAAAACTTTAATTACCTATTCATTTTAGTAAAAACTTAACTCAAATGACAAGTGAATACATATAAACATAAGTACACTATAGAGCAAGAGTGAACTTTTATACGTAATTCCTGCACTACCAAGTGATAAAGCAAATCAAATTAATGTTTTTGGTATTTATTTGTTGCTCACTTTTCTGAAAAATTTGTTCTAGAGAAATACGAAATATTTTTAATTTGAGATCGCTCTTTGTTATACTAAATATTTATCTGTATGATTATCTAATGAATTATTCCCTTACGATTTTTGATGAGTATTTTGGGCATTACCCTGTTGAAGCATGGAATATTGTAAAATTGTTTTTCGCTGCCGCTGTAGCTGAGCGATTAGTGGTGTGTAAGAAATCATTTGATTAACCCTTACAAAATGACTTTAACTTACAAAATTTTTTTTTTATTGTTTGTGAATCAATTAACAAAGATACTGGCTAAAGAATACACCAACGTTGAGAGAAAATTTGGTTATTCTCGAAGACGTACTTGAATAAACTATGTTCTTATTTTAATAATTAAGAATGATAAAAGTCTTAGAACCGTTAAATTATTTATTTTAGAGTATAGCAAAATCATTAGTTAAACTTAACTACAGAACCACTTCTGGCCACCGACTTGATTCAGTAAAACATTTAATTAAAATATCTTATCTCCTCTTGTTTAAAGTCGAGTTATTTGGAATTCCCAACGATCTTTTTGATTTACCGTAGATGGATAGGAAAAAAAAATGTTTTTGGGAACAACTACTCTTTCGTGATGATTGATGCTAGGTCCGCTGTAATAATGTAATGAAAATATTTAAACCGAAAGAAAGTTGAAGTAGTTAAAATATCGCCAAAAAATATGTGATCAATATAAGGAGACAACCATAACAAGCCATAAGTTATGCCAGAGATACATATATTTTTGAGGCGAGGAAAAGAAAGAAGTGAGTAAAACTAAATCTTATGCCTTCATATCTCTTGTATCCTCCTTGAGATGGTAATAAAAAAAAATCAGTTTATAATTTCTTGGCATTTTTTACAAGAGATTAAGGCGTCAAAATCCATGGATGAAGATGACACATCTCCACAAGGGATTAATAGTTACACTGCCGAAACAAAGTATTTGCACAGCAAATTTTTCACAATATATACAAAAACTTTTATTCTAATATTTTTCCGCCAATTTTGTATAAAAATATAATTTCTAAACCTTGTGCAAAACTCGCGAAAACTCAGCAAATTGTCGTCAAAATTTTCAACTTTTTAATGAGATTTTTTAGAATTTTTTTGAGTATGCAGTTTTGCAGCCCATTAAATTCTAGTAAAAATGCAAGTTCGGATTTAGTCAAAAATCGCGTTGATTTTTTGGAATTTTTTTTTGTTGAAGGTGTATTGCAGTTTTTCCATATAAAGTATTTTCGAAAAAAATTTTTTGTATGGAAGAGACTGCGTGAAAAAAAAATTGCCAAAAATCAACAGTAATTCCTAGCTACTTAAAACTTGCACTTTATTATAATAGATTGATTGGGCTACAAATCTGCATACTCAAAAAAATCTAAATAATCTGATTAAAAATTTGCTGACTTTTCGCGACTTTTGCACAAAGTTTAGGAATTATATTCTTATGTTTTTTGTAACCATATTTTTATACGAAATTAGCGGAAAAATATTAGAATGAAAATAGTTGCATATGTAGTGAAAAATTAGCAGTGCCAATACTTTGTTCCGGCAGTGTATATTAATTGTGAGATGAATTTCTGAGCAAACTGGAACTTTTTAATTAATAAAAAAATTTAATAAAAAAATATATTATACGAGTACAGACATCCGACATATAGGACATAGAAATATTAATAAACAGTTCATCAAAAGAAGTGTAAAAAGGAATAAAATGCAATTGAATAGGAAAAGTACAATGCGAGTAAGAAAAGATAGTGACAATACTTAGGTAGATATTAAAAAAAATATACTATGAGAAAAAGTAGTAATCAAAAAAAAATTGCTTATCTACATATGTAATTAAAAAAAAATAGTAGAATAGCTAAAATTTTTCTTTTATTTCTTCTTTCAAATAATAAATAAGGCTTGTGTAACTTGTTTGCAGTTGTATGTTGTTGTAACTTTTTGTGCAACTCACCATTTCCATATATTGTATATAATCTAAATTTATCGTCCTGTGCCTGATGTTGTTGTGAATCTTTTTGTAATTGTTGTTGTTGTTGTGATATTGATGGCGCTAAGGGTTGTGGCAATGGCACTGCCAACGACAATGGCAACGTATAACGATATTGTCCGTGAGGCACGCCATTGTTGCTGATATAATAGGGTGTGTTGTTGTGGTTTGTGTTATTATTATTGTTGTTGTTGTTGTTCTTTGTTTGTTTGTTGGAATTGTGTTTACTCAACGGGCGGACATTTAATTCATTTTTAGCATTATTCCTTAAAATGAATTCATCATCATCATCATTGCTAGTGGGATTTGTATTGACTGTATTTGTGGAGGCAGATATAAAATCGGGACTATCGGCGATGTTTGTTGTGGCCGTTTCTGGTGTAGTTGTTGCTTGGAAGCCATTATTGATTGCGCCATCATCGGACAATTTAAGATAATCATCGCTGTTGTTGGCCACCAAAGACAAATGCGGATGCGTTTGTTTCTTACTCGGCGACGGCATTTTTATAAATTTATTTTTTAGTTTTTAGTTATTTATATTGTTTTTTTAATTTAAAAATTATTACTTTTATTTAGTTAGATTTTTTCTTTTTTTAATAAATAAAATGTGTGATGATTTATGGGCAAGGAATGCAATCACTTAGCATTTTCGTATGCTTACTTGCGATTTGTGCTCAGATTTTAATTAAATTTAATTAATGTAATTAAATTGTTATTATTCCTTTTTTTAAGTAAGATGAATTTATTTTAAATGCCCTTTCTAACTGAAAGTCAGTTGGAGGAAATACTTAAAGTTTTGCGAACAAAACTAAATTACAATTAATTGAGCTATTTAACAAAAGTTAAATACATAAATTAACTACGACACAGAAATGTCGTTTCACTTCTAAGTGAAAATTAATTTAAATTTGACTAAGAAATTAAGTTTTCGCACTAATTTGTTTAAGCGTATTAAAGGCAATGAAAGCGCCAATTTCTTGTGTTTATTTTATTTTTTTACAAAAATTACAAAATTTTTCTGAGAATTTTTTTTTTTTTAGAACTCGCGCAACTCACATGTGTTGTTACACCTTCTTGGAAATACGAAAATACTTTAGACAATAATACTAGATTACAAATGAAAACAACAGTATCACACACAATTTTTTAATGTAACTAAAATTTTTTTATATATTAGTACTTAAAGTTTTAATAAAATTATTTGATAACTTCAATATAAATTTTTGCTTTAAACTTTATATGGCGAAGATTTCCGTGCATACAGCGATAGGTTCTGTTGACCTCATTTGGCTTACATCTTCGTGGCGATTTTGTGGGCGTGTCTCTTGTGGGTCGGCGGCTTACGTCGACAGTGCGAACAGAGACACGTTTTCGGTGCGAATATCGAAAAGTAGGCAATCGAAGTAGAAAGTGTGATGTGTACGCGCGCTTGTTGAAACCTATTTTGGTAGCTGTTTTTGTTTGTTTTTTTTTTCTGCTGTTTCCAGTGCTTGCAATTGTTGAAGGTTTTGTGTGTTTATGATTTTTTTAAGTTAGTGTGTTGTAAATTAATAGAAAATAGCACAAAATTTGTCGAGTGAAAGAAGAGTCGAGTGAAAAGTGTGTAGATTTTAGGATGGTTGAATTGAGTTTTGTCGGTTAAATATATCTTTGCCAGGATTAACTGATATACTGGCTTCTGTTCGCGAGACAGAAGTGCGCCTGCGGCTTTAGTCACCGGACCGTTGATATGGCTAAAGAAATAGATGAGAAGCAGAAAAAAAGAAACGTTGGTTGCAGGGGCAAATTTTTTATTTTTTATTTTTTTTTTGGGTATAACTAGTTTTTTGAGTTTTTCGCATATTAGTAAGAATGTAAAAAAGTTTTGCATATTTTTAGCGCATTGCAAAGGTTTTACGATGTCAAGACCCTGGCTTTTTTTAAACTTGTTTCGATGTTGAAAAAATAAATTTTTGTTCTGTTGGAAACTATTCGCAAGAAAATATGAACTAAGAGTTAAAAAAAGATATATGTATGTATATGTATACACTTATACACTGCATACCCAACATTTTTCTAAAAATTCTGAAAAAAAGTTTTTGGGTTCAAATGTTAAAGTTCGTTGAATTTTCATAATTTTTGTACGAAGTTTGAAATGTAGATTTATGTGGCGCTGGTTAGGTAAAGCCCTTGACTTTTATAAACAAAATTAGACATTAAATAAACAAAAGGAAAATAGCCAAAACTAGTCAAACTGTCACTTGACTTAATCATCTGACCACAAGGGTATATGTAGATACATCCCGAAAAAGTCCCATACTTGATTTTTTCGCTGTTGTAGCTGGTCAGAAAAAACTTACACATTTTACTTAAACTTTTAGTTACTGTTTGCTGTCACAACAGTAATTTCAATAATTTAATAAACGAGTTCATGTTCATGTGTATGTATGTACATAATTCTCCGCAAATTGTGAATTCAGTATTCCAAAAATTCTGGGAATTCAGTAATTAATTGAAGTAAAAAATGTGCATTATTAAAAAGTTTTAAATTTATTTAGAAACCTATGTACGTTAATAAATATTTTGCGTATTTTATTTTAACAGAGAGAATGATATAAGAAAAGAATTTAATTCCTTGGAAATGGCCAATGCAAATATTTTAAGTTAGTTTTAAAAAAGCAACAGCTTAAAATACGATAAGCTAGGAATTAAGTCACAAACACCACAGAGGTGGTCAAAGTTTGATTGCGTTTTTTAAATGAATTGATAGAACTGGATTTCTTCTTACAAATATGCATACATACATATGTACATAGTTAAGTAGTTATGTTTGAATTTGCTTAATTCAACACTTTTTCCCTAAAAGTGGTTAAAAAATTCGCTATTCGCTTGCTTTAACTTCGTGTGCGGTTTGAAAATCTGCGCGAGTATGCTATACGGCAGGTCCAACATACAGATATACATATGAACTGGTTTCAAATGTGCAATTATCATAAATTAATATTAATGGCTTGTGTGATCGTGCAGACGCATCAAATTCTGTACACAAAAACATGTACATTAGGATGCAACCTTCTGCGTGCAAAAAAAAAATCGGTACTGTTTTTCTATTGGAATTAGAAAATGTACTCTATTTTAAGACTTCTTCCAAAATATTTTGGATAAAAGATTAAGCCAAAGTGTGCTGAACCGATTTGAAAATATGTGCCTCCAAAACAAACATAAATTTTTTTATGAAGATTGTTTAATACGAATTCATTGTTAATTTTTCGTTAGTCTGTAAAGTACTTTGTACTGTAGAATTAAAATCAAATAAATAAATAAAATTAGTTCAAAAAAAACAAATCCAAAAAATTACCTCTGTTTAAACTCTATCGTCACTAGACACGAATAAAGCGCGCTAGGGTGTTAACGGCAAAAAAACGCGTAAAAAAATTTGGCGAAAAAAACGCTTAAGAAAAACTTTGGCGAAGAAAGACGCGTAAACTAGTTGACGGCGAAGAAAGACGTGTAAATATAAATTTATACCTGGCCAAGGACTGTCACTTAAGCATCATTTCCCAAAAACTCTTTTAAACGTGCTGAAGTTTTTTTTATGCGTCGTGTTTCGCGTTCAAGTTTTCAGCTCGCGCCTTTATTCGTGTCTGGTGACGCTATCATGTACGATGATTTTTTGTTTTTTTTTTTTAATTTTATGTATAAAAAACTCGATTTTTAGAGATACATATTTTCAAATCGGTCTATGTCTCGTAAATCTTAATCATTTTCAAATATTATTTTGGTGGAAGTGGTACAATATAAGTCATTTCATAGCTCCGGTGGAAAACCCGTACTTTTCTTTGGTGAGGCACCCTAATATATATACAACCATATATGCATGCATAAATTAGTATTGAATGGTGTGACCATTGGAAGCGTCTTCAAGTTTTTGCTAATTTCTTAAGCCGCTAAAAGTGTTTTAATAGCATGATGATACTAATGAATCGAAAAAAGAACTTTAAATAAGTATTGTAACGAAAAATAAAACTATGTTAATTAAAAACAAAAGTAGCGAGAAGAAATTGGCGTCTTTCAAATTTAATAATATTAATATTCTTTTAGCACATGCGTAAACTTTTTGATAAGAAAAAAAGGTGGTAGACAGGCATGAGGCTCGAAAATTCTATTCATTCTATAAGAGCGCAGGCCTTGCCAAGTCGCACGCATGGATTATGATACTACAATGAAATTATCCTTCGACTCGGTACTCAGTAACGATAGCAAAGGTGACCACTTGGTGTGAACAACTGGCTAAACTATGCAAAAGACAAAGGAAATTGGCGAAGTTTTCACGTTTCGGATAAAATCGATAAACGTTTGTGACGCGAAAAAAGAAACAGAAGATATGCATTCTTATCCGTTATTGATATATCCTTGTGATCAGCTGATTAAGTCATCAACATTATGATAAATTTTGGCTACTTTTGTTTCTTAAGTCGAGCTCGTTGTATAACAAACACCATATAAATCCTCATTTCAAATTCTAGTGCAAATATTAAATTTTCAACTCATTCAGATTTTTTAGAATTTTTTCGAGTATGCAGTTTAATAGCCCATTAAATTCTGGGGTAATAATGTGCAAGCTTTGAATGTCTAAAGAATTGCGTTGATTTTTAATAATTTTTTTCTGACTGCATTACAAATTTTTTTCCATACAAAATATTTTCGACAATTTTTTTTATGGAAAAAAATGTGTCATGCAGTCAGAAAAAATATTATCAAAATGCGATTGTTTAGCAATTTAAAACTTGCAAATTATTACTCTAGAATTTAATGGGCTATATTAAACTGCATACTCAAAAAAAATTCTAAAAAATCTGAATAAAAAGTGAAAATTTAGCGAAAACTTTGCAGATTTTTTATAATTTTGGCACAAACTTTGAAATGTAGATTTTTATGGTGTTTGTTATATAAAGAGCCAGACTCTCAACACTGTCAATTGTTTCATTTAAACTACATAAGTAAGCTGCCGTTTAAATACAGACGTGTATTGATCTACTACTTGTGTCACACACGGCGTATGAGTAACATTTTACTAAAAAGCATTGAGTTGAAGTACACAAGTTTCATCTTTATATACATTCGTACATAAATACATATTTATGTAAGTATTTATGACTGTTCTCGTACAGTATTTACAGTTTTAACATTATTTCAAACACTTCAAAAAGTTTTTTACTAGTTAAACTACCGTTTTTTTTTTTATTAGAAACCTACTGAAGTTGTTGGCAAGCCACGAATACCATGGAACAGAGATAGGTAACACCGTCTTCAGCTTCAAAAAGTGTCCCGTCTTGTATACAAATAGGTGCTATTCAACCTATCAGTGCCAGCAGTTTTATCAGCTTCAGTATAAATAATCATTTTTATTACGTAAATTGTCTATAAAATACTATGTCGGTTTTATATTGCACGTATGAAAGTAAATTATGCCAATGAAGTTCAGTTTATCTCCGCAGATAACTGTTATGTGCCACAATTGTCAATGGCGGTACGAATGGTTATTGTATGTATACATAAGTACCTACATAAATGAATATATGAGCGCCTAGAGCGTGTTGGATGTGCATAGAGGGTAGATATGTACATACATACATTAGACTGTATCACTCCCCATACAAAAAAAAAAAAAATCGGTACTGTGTTTCCGCGGGAATTATAAAATCTATTATATTTTAAGACTTGCATCAAAACATTTCGGAAAAATATTAAGATTTACGTGAGCAGGAGACCGATTTAAAAATACCTCCAAAACTGGAGTTTTTCACGAAAAAAAAAAAATCACTCCCAGATGACAAAACAGTTTAAGCTTAAAAATCTGAAAAATATTGAAACACATTTTTCAACGGAATCGTAATAATGAGATTTTTGATGCTGTTTTTTATCTTCTTTCAAAGATTGGTATAACAAAAACTTGAATCACTGGACCAAAACAATTCTGATCTAAGGTATTTTCTCACCCTTTTTATTTTTTGCAAATAAACTCATTCAAAGTATGAAAGAGAAAGGTAGGATAAACTAGCGTCATTTCAAGTTGAATTAAGATGTGTTGGGATGTGAATGAGTTTTTTTTTTTTACAAAGAAATAAAAGGAATGGGAAAATACATTTCCACTGATAGCCCGAAATTCTAAATCGGAATAGTTTTGATCCAGTTTTTCTTATACCAATCCTTGAAAAAAGTTAAAAACAGCATCAAAGATCTCATTATTATTGTTGAGTTGAAACATTTTTTAATTCGAAATATTTTAGTGGACGTCTTCAAATAGAATAAATTTTGTAACCCCGGCTGAAAAACCGCAACTTTTTTTGGCGATGCAGTCTAATATACATACATATGTATGTATGTAGGTGCATAAACAAAATCCGTATTTATTAATTTATTATCAAAATCGACTAATTAATATTATCGAAAACATTTTATATGCCAAATAAATAAAAAATAATTATTATTTATGCCAGAGGTGGCGAGTGCGCAGAGGCATCTGATAGCTTCTGGCGTATGTGGTGTTGCTCGGCACATAAAACAACAAAAAAAATAACACTGAACAACGTTTGCTTTTCAATTAGAAAAGTTAAATATTCAAGCGTACTTCTTACTTAAAAAAGCATCTCTTGAAACCAAGCAGCCATTTGTAGGCGACATAGAATTGTGTCGAATCAGCGAACGTAAATAAAAGTTATTTTACAATTTTTGGAACAAAAAGTCATATCGA